CCACATCCTTTCAGACCCCAGATCTTGTCCACTCCACGTCCTCTCCCGCCTCTCGAGTCCAGCCCAGCTTCCATAATTTCCTGCCTGCATCAGCGAGTCGCCATCGTCCTCCCTGGATTCCCGCCCTCCAGCTTCATCGCTCTGCCCTGTCCTCCCGTCTGCTGGCAGGGTTAGGTTGCTCCATCTTACTGATCAAGTCCCTCAGCTGCTCGCAACCCCCAGTGACGCCCTCCTGCCCTGCAGATAAATCCTAAGCTCTTGGGTGGGCACTTGAGGCCCTCTGTGACCTGCTCCTGTGCCCCTCCTCTGCCGTGTTCTCTCTTCCAAGCCTAAGGACACCAGTGCAGGGCAGAGGTGAAGAGACTGATCTGGGTCAGGAGGTCCCAGCCCATACCTCAGGTCCCCTGTTCTCACACCTCAGATCAGGACTTCACCTCTCCAGGCCTCCTTCCGCTCTGGGAAGGTGGAGAGAACACTGGTGTTCATGGCACAGGCTTCCTCATCTGCAAAGGGGGACTTCGTTTGTTTGGTTGATGCCACGGTTACAGGTTAAAATCTGTCAGGTACCTAGAAGGAGTTTGCACGGGGACAAGCAGAGTCACAGATAACCCTCCCCCTGCCTGCGGTGAGAGTCCTCGGTACTGCCTGGGACAGCCTTCTCCGCCCCCGTGCTGGGTGTAGATGTGACCATGGCATGGAGCCAGCAGGGCCCAGTCGCCTGTTCTAACTCCGGAGCCCATGGGCCTGGATGCAGGCTGCCCTCGGGGGAAGGCATGGCCAGCATCGGACGTGTGGGCTGTGGCCATGGCAGCAGGTCAGCACGGTAGTGGGCCCCAGGGCCTGGGCTAGGCAGCAGGCAGTTCAGGCTCTTACCTCCGCTGCCGCAGTGCTCTCAGCGGGGCCTTCTCTCTGGGCCACATTTCCCCCATCTGTGAAATGGGAACAGAGGGGATGCTGCACAGACTCACAGGGCCCTTCCTGTACTCAGCAGGGCCTTCACTGGGGAAAGCCTTCCTGAAGGCCATGAGCAGGGAGGAGAGATTTTGGGGCAGCTCCTCCTTCTCTGCCTCCTGTGGGTGAACTCAGCCTCCTGCAGGTGAGCTTCCTGATAAGAGAGGTTAGGCAGGGTGCCCAGTGCCCCAGGGAGGGAGCTGGTTGCTTTAGGGGAGTGTGGCTGCCAGGCTGTGTTCTTGGGGCTGGCCCAGTGTCTGCTCCACAGCTGCGCACTGTGGTCAGCCCCACACACAAACCGCAGAAGGGAGCGGGGGACTTGGAATCCCCCTCGCTCGCTGGAGAATCAGGTAGGGCCATGCTTTACAGCACCTGGCACAGAGCAGCTGCTCACGGAACAGGCACGATCAGGACGACAGTGCTGGCGACTTCACGGTTACACTCAGTGGCCTGGGTTTGAACAGTGTGCTGCTATTATTTTGCTGTGTGACTTTGGACAGGTTACTTGCTATCTCTGGCCTCAGGTTTACTCTGATTATCCCACTGGATGACAAGAGTAAGGGTGCCTAGAGACAGGTACATTCTGGGCCCGTCTGAGGGGCATCTACTGGGCATCTCGATATTTATTGAGCACCTACTGTGCGCCAGGGCTGCCTTTAAGAAGTCCCTGCCTATAAGAAGCTCATGAACAAAGGGAGAGGCAGACGTTTGGTTCTTCACTGCAGGTCCTACCTGACCCCCTCCTGAAGGAGCCAGAGCTGATGGGACATGTTGGAGATGCGTCTGCTGCTTGCTGAGCTCAGAGGCATCATTCAGGGCCTGCCTGCATCACGAGACTGTCATCTCGCAGGGCTCTGTATCCAGAAATCACGTGATCAGAACTAAAACCAGCGTCAGAGGCTGGCAACGGGGGCGCACTCTAGAGACAGATGTTGGCATCAGCAGTGACCTGAAAAGTCCGGGTCCTGTGGATACAATGGCAGTGGCCGAGTTTCAGAGATGGAATAACCCCTTCTAGCCGAGCGACCAGGGGATGGGGCCAGGCAGCAGTGCGGCTGTGAGACACGACAGGACATGTGGGGTCCAGCCACCTCACCCCCACACCTCCCGGCTGGCCTCCACCTTCCTGTTTTGCCGCATGTCCTCTTACTTCTCTGGAAACTCCCCTCCCAGCTATTCTAACCTGCTCATAGTTCTGTCAACAGGCTGTGTGCTGTTTCACACCTCCCCGTGTTGACACTGTTCCTCCTGCCTGGAAAACAAACCACCCATCAAGCCAGCCCAAGTGTCACCTCCTTGAAGCCTTCATTCATACACACAGTGACAGTAATGACCGACTCTCCTGGCACTCTCTACAATAGGCTAGCTTCGTCCCCATAAGAACTCCAGTCCCAGGTTACAGATGTGGGAACTGAGGCACAGCAAGGCTCAATAACTTGTCCCAGGCCACAGAACTAGTAAGTGGCAGTTGAAGTCACTCCACCCTGCCTGATCGCAAAGCCTTTGCTCTTCCCAGTGAGGTCAGAGAAGTGGGGGCTCGGGAACCAGCAGTTAGCATAATGGCTATGTCGCTGGACTCCCACGTTGTCGACCGCGATTCGCGTCCTGGACCCGGTGGCTTAAAACTCACGCCGGGCGCATGTGCGTGCGTACCCAAGATCCCGAGAGGAGAATGGAGGAGAAGGGATTGCGGCGTGGCCATCCCCCCTCGGGAGTGATTTCTCGCTTTCTGTCTCTATGTCTCTCTCTGCCTGTCTGGCGAGCGCAAATGCCCTATAGCGAAAATCTCTCCAAAAAAAAAAAAAAAGAAGTGGGGGCATGGTAAATGTGTGCAGATGGCTGGTGGGGTGGCAAGGGGCACTCCCTGCAGGGAGCCTCCTGGACATCAGAGGCGTACGAAGGGGCAAGAAGAGAGGTGGGCAGGTGGGCAGGTGGCCATGTGTCAGGGACATTGGGGAGGACGAAGGCAGACAGCAGGGTCAGAGTTGGGGCCAGGGAAGGAGGAACAGGACCCCTTATTTAGAGGGTCACCACTGACAGCACAGTGCTGGGGTGGGCAGCAGGCTGGGGGAGACATTTCCTAACCTGATGGGTCGGGACTGTCCCAGGCAGGGCCGAGCCCCTGGAGCTGGGAGGGTTGGAGCTGCTGAAGAACCTGCAACAGCTGCTCCTCTGCTGCCTGCATGACAAAGGGCACATTGTAAAAACCCATCACTCAGCCCACAGTCCAAAAATAAGCAAGTCTGTGAGTGGATGGGCCTTCCTGACTCCTTTTATTTTAAATAATTGTTTGTTTAATTTTATTTATTCATTCATTTATTTTCATTTGACCAGAGAGAGAGACACAGGGAGAGAGAGGGAAAATGAAAAAGCAAGTCACCAAGTCCGGGACTTGAACCACGGTCGGCCATGTGGGAGTGTCTAGCCCTTTAACCACAAGCCACCTGCTAGTCCTCCTGACTTCTTTTCTTTGCCCTTCCTTCCTTGCCATTTCTCTTTCTTATTTTCTTTTATTTTTCTTTTTAAGAGGTTTTTTGCCTTTGGGCGTGCGTGCTCCCTGGAGAGACAGAGAAACAGAGACAATGAGAAAGGAAGTGAGAGTCATCCCCTGGGGGGATAGCCATGCCCCAGGTCCTTCTTCTCCATTCTCCTCCTGGGATCTTGAGCGCGCGCACACACACACACACACACACACACACACGCGCCCAGCACAGCATGATTTTTAAGTCCACCGGGTCCAGGACTAGAACCATTGTTAGTCATGTGGGAGTACAGCGTTGTAACCATTACACCATCTGCTGACCTCTCATTTCTCTTTCTTAAATTACAAAATATACAAAGGGGCAGATCGCTTTCACCATTCCTCCATCCCTACTCTCTATATAGACACCCACCGTCACACGCACGTACACACGCACACTCACACCATATACAGTCACAGGTGGACTCTTGCTGGTAAATCCCATAGTTTCACGGGAATTAAGAGCATAAACTTTGGGGTTAGATAGACCAGGTTAAAATTCTTTCTCTAAGGACCAGCTGATGGCGTAATGATTACGTCACTGGACTCCCATGTAGTTGACCAGAGTTCTGGTCCTGGACCCAGTGACTTCAAACTCATTCCAGACACGTGTGTATGTGTGCCCAAAATCCCAAGAGGAAAATGGAGGAGAAGGGATTGAGGCGTGGTCATGCCCCTGGAGTGTGTGTGTTGGGGGTGATTTCTCACTTTATGTCTCTCTGTCTGTCTGTCTCTCTCTTTGGCAAGTGCCTGTGCCCTGTAGCAAAAAAATCTCTCTCAAAAAAAATTCTATCGCCAGGTGGCTATACACAGGTCACTTCACTCGTCTGAGCCTCAGTTCCCTCCTCTGCAAAATGGGGTTCTGACATCCATCTCACGGGAGGGTTGAGTGAGAGAACATGAAAGCGCCAGGCAGGTGCATGTCAGGGTCAAGCTCACTCCCTGCGCACCCTCTGCTCCCCCCACGCACGTCGCTGCAGCCTCCGGCTTGTCTCCGGGAGACTTCCATCTTGCCCAGGGCATGGGCCCTCTGTCTCTGCCCCATCGTGAGTCTCTAACTAGGGCTGAACCCCCAAGAGGAGTTTGCGACTCTTGTTTCATTTAGTTAAATAACCGAATTTCAAATTGTAAAATCACAATTATTTTTCAAATAAGAACCTGAACTATCCTACTCTA